GTAATTGATTGTGAATTAAAACCCCTTTTTAATTCTCCCTATTAGTTAGGATCATTAGTCCTTAGGGCTTCCGCCATCCATGAGTGACATCTAGCAGTATGTCATGGATATCCAAGCTAAGTAGAATAAGCAGAGAACCTATTCAGTTGGAATTACAATGCAATATGGTCCTTCCCTATTACAATGCTTTTAATCTCATTACTAGGGCATGGTGCATGTCAAACCCTTAATGAGATTGTCATGTCTTATATGATTTGTATTAGTATGACAAGAACATCCTTCTAGGTCATACCGAATACTCTGATCAGAGATTTGCTTAATCATATCTTCCGAGCATTCTCCTTCTTTACTGAAGAATAGAGATTCCATGTTGTACACTCACATGTCTCCATGAGTCAATCATGAACCCCAACAATGCTTGTACCACATCCGTGATTAGGACATATCTTTATAGCATCATCAAAGATCCACAACCTTCCCACAAGACAACCATGGTGCCTCAGGTCCAAGGACTAATTTGCATTATTGCAACTTGGAGTTTCTTGTTTGACATATAAGTAAAATTTCCATACAAGAAACTTTCGTTTGATCGTGTTCAGTGAACTCATTCTCTATTAAGCACCTACATACTTGTCTTAGTGTCTCCACACGAATGACTTGAGATCAGTCATCCTCCCAATTGAGAAGACATAGCATGTACCGGTCTTTCCGGATTGTTAGTGCCCATTTGACAATCCTATGACTAGGAACATTAAGGGCATGAAGATAATAGAGGAAAGGTCTCCTAAATCTAACTTCCTTAGATTACTTTCTCTCTATCTCACATCCCTTGGACTTCTTGTTTAAGCATGTGTAACCGTTAATGAGACATTTACTGATAAACAATAAACTTGCCCTTTAAGAGGATTAAACATAAGTCTAATACATGAAATATCCTTAAAAGATTACATCATATGATTGGCTTTTAGGGCATATTTCCAACACGTGTTTAGTAAATTTTGTTAAACCTATAGGAACTTTCAGATTATTAATCGAAGGTTGGGGACCTCACAGGGGACTAGGTTGACCAATATGAGAATTTAATCGCATATTTAATCTCGGGTCTTTTCAGACCATTCCACTTGTCAGAACTGTTGAAAATGGGCCTAAGAACTTTCTAAAGTTACACACATGCACTTTTAAGGCCGGGGGTCAGGGTTTTGATTAAATATTTGTGATTGAACTGTGTTATTAATTAAGTATTTTAATCACTTAAATAGGTACTCGGGCTTCATTAAACCCATAGGAAGAGCCCTTGAAGGGTCAAGCTAGCTCGGACGCACAGTGAGTGGACTTTTATTTTATAAATGAATTTTATGCAATAAAAGTTTTATTAATTGATCATGAATGAATTATTTATGACTTTTACTTTCCAATCATAAAATTTGAATTCATATGCTTTTATTAAATTTTGTTTATGATTAAATGTGAATGGCTTGGAAAGTAGAAAAGGAAATGGTAACAGGATTTAAGGATTGAGTGATAAATAGTTTTATAATTTTCCAAGAAAGGCTTGTGTTTTTTTTAAACCACCATAGGTACCCAAAATGTTGCCTTTGGAAAATATTGCCTTCGGATATAATGATGTCCACGAACATTCTAGCGCGGGTTTGACAGTTGCCCCACGAGTCCTAGGGATACCCGGACCATGAGGAGCGAGGAATGCGGCTCAGGTTGACCAAGTGTCTCCTGAGTTCTGCGAGGAATGCGGCTCGGGTTAACTTTGTGTTTTCCTAGTTCTGCGAGGATGTGTCGCTTATGTGACACTTGGAATTAACGGTGTAATGTGGGAAATAAATAGAAAATCATGGAATTGACAGATTTATGATGGGTACACCTAGGTGGAAAGGAATTATCACTTTTCAATGCTTTCAAATGGTTCTGATGATTTGATTGAATGCATGATCGGTTATATGTATATAGATATGCATGTTTGATTTTTTTGTACGAATATAGAA